TATACTGCAGTCAGCCACCAGGGGGAGATAGAGAGAGAGTCTATACTGCAGTCAGCCACCAGGGGGAGATAGAGAGGGTCTGGCTTCACTTTTGGAGAGCTGTCCTGTCGTCGATCTATATGTATGTCTGTGGTGCCAACCTTATTTGTAGCTAGCATAACACTGGCTAGCATATCAGATGATTTGGTATCTGTTTGTAGCTAGCCAGTGTTAGCTACAAACATCAGGCATATGTGGCATTATACTGTTTTTAGTTCGGGTAAAATATCTACAATTAGCATGTCAAATATTATGCTGCTTGTTTAGCCATTCTTATATTATGAGAGATGATACATATTTTGTTTCCTAGTAACGTCCTTTTTAAAATGCTTCAGTTTAATTTCCATTGGAAAAATCCCAGCTAAAGCTGTGTTCACTAATGCTAATGTACTGACAGATAAACATACTTGGGCTGCGGCTCTCCCTCCTTGGAAGACCTGCAAGGACAAAAGAAAAAGAGTAAAAGTGCTTTCACTTATTATATATGATATTATTATATTATTATGACTCATTCATTAATGTAACAGCAGGGTTTTATTGTTGCAGTTGCATTCTGAACTATTTTCATTGAACTGCAACTAAAGATATGTTTTGTTATCGATTAAATTGCTTTACATTTTTTTCACCATTAATCCATTGATAGATTGATTTGTACAAATTCTGAAAATAGTAAGAAAGTGACACCTTTACAATGCTTTAGTCCAACCAACAGACCAAACTTCAAAATTATTACAAATACATTAAAATTATTCAACAGAAAAGCAGCAATTTTTAATGTTTCAGAAGGTGGAACCATTTTTACATGCAAAATGACAAATGATTATATTATAATAATAATATTGGGTAAAGCCATCAAATAAATTGTAGGAAAGAAAAAAGTAAGTACACTTAAATTAATTCCACTTGAGTAAATTCCACCTGTTTTATTTTGGATCATGACTGAGATTATCAGTATCTCACGAAAATCATTTTTAGTTAAAACAAAAATTATATTTCCTGTCTCCATAAAATAAGTTATTTTAGTGCGATACGTTCAATGTCTTACTTCTCCGTGTCAGCGGCTGGTTTTGGGGTTGTTTGAGGTTTTGGGGCTGGAGGAGGTTCTGGGGTTGCAGGAGGTTTTGGGGCTGGAGGAGGTTCTGGTGCTGGAGCCTCTGCTGTTTAAAGAAACAGGAGACACTTAGTATAATGACACTTTATAATGATGATTTAAGGCTGACACAGAGCTGAAGGTACCTTTAGTTGAAGCAGGAGCTTCAGTCTTCTCATTGGCTTCTGTCTTTGAGCGAACCTGGATCTCCGGCTTAGGAACCACCTTCTCTATACCCTGCTTTAGCCACTCTATCATCCTGTCAGTCACACACACACACAC